TGGATTAGAACTGCGGACCTTATGGTTATCAGTCCAATGTTTATGCTACAGCACCAGTAGGCCTCCTTCACAAGTATGCAACACTATATTATCTTCATTTCATAGGAGAGAAAAATAAGGGTTCTGAGAGATCACACACATCTACTCTAATAAGAGAAGCTGGAATTCAAATCCAAACATTTACGCCAAAGCCCGTTGCACGTATTTTCTCTTAACACTATGCCTTTCTACATTTCGTTTAAAAATAGAAGTTCCTAAAAGTTCCTTATATTAAAATTGTTTGTTGCTGTTTTCTAATAATGAAAAAACAATTTAAAAAATAAATAAATAAAAGTCCCGTCCCAACCGCATTCTTTTATAGTGTGCAAAGTATTTCATCCATACATGGAGATAATTACATGACAAATTTTTAGTTTTCTTCGTGTCAGGCAATAAAGAAAAAATAAAATTAGTATGGTCGTTACAATATTAATACAATTTGAAAATCTCATAGCTTTCTCTGCTTTTTTTGTGCCCATGCTATGAGAGTGTTCATCCACATCAGACACACCTGCTGGAGAACACACAGCACAGTAAATAGTAAAGATGGTAAAGGATTTTAATGAGATGGTAGTTAGATGGCACACATACCTGGTATTAATGTTATGCTTCTTTAGAAGTTTTATATAGAACAGAAAATAATACCATACCATTTAAGAAAATCCTTTAAAAATTCTATAGGGAAATACAGATGCTTCAAAGAAAAAGTGGGTTTTTAAAAAAGAACTAATGAATTACATGCTTGACATTCTCCTCAAAACAAAATGGGGTTGCTGGGGGGAACTAATGAGGAAATTAAATTTTCTAATTAAAAGAATGATCTACCATGAACATATCTGGTGGTAGGCTAAACATCGACACCATGAAACCTTAGTAACGTCTTAGCTTCAACTGATAAATGTGGTGTATCACTTACTTGGATTGCAAGACACTTGCCAATGTTCAGACATGGTTTACTGGGCTTACATTACATTTTTATATGGAGAAAATTACATGAGCAGTCTTAAGTTTGCTATGAAACCAACTTATTTTTATTAAAGTAATTAAGAATCAAAAAACAATATAAGGGAAATTCCACAACCTTAGTTTGCAACTATATAATCTTTATGTAGAAAAACTATAAAGTGACAGTTTGATCTAGAAAGCGGCTCCACAATAAACTTAACCCTTACATCAAAAGTAACCAAGTTATGGAATCCATTCACCTGAAAGAAATTGTCTTGCTGTAGAATATTTCAGCTGAGTTGAATTCAACTACATTATTCTCATTTCTGAAAAATTGTCTTTCCTGATATCTCAGAGATACAATGTACAAGAGACTGTTAAAGGAAAATGATAAAAAATAGTACTCCAAGCACAAGTACACATGAAAATGAACTAGGGCATTTAATCTGTATATCTACAAAACTATATAAATAACCAATTATACATATAATCCATTTACATTGAAGCTCCATGAGGTGATATTGAATACAAACACTGAATCATTGAATTTTCAACAATGGAATATGGCTCATTCTGAACAGTAGCACATTACCACCTTTCAGTCTACCATCACGACACTTTCCCTGGGATTTGAATTTGTGTATGATCTAAGATGTGGGAAGCTGAAAACAAAAATAAAGAAAAAAGCATAATGAAACAGACACCCCCTAAAATCTATTCTAACACATGCATGTGAAATATGAAGAGAACAAAGACTTTGGAAATGTGAATTTTTACAAACAATCACATGTTCCTTTAAACTCAACTACTGTGCTGAGTTTTCTGAAATTGGCTTTTACATTAAAATGGAATTGAATAGTAAAACAAAAAACATTTATTTCTCAAATGTGTTAAAGGGACATTCCTGACAGTGGTTATTATTTATTTTTAAAAGCAAGTTTCTCTTAAATCAAACTGTGTGTTCATCAAAATAGGTTGTCATTAACTATCACTGATAAGTAATTTTTCAGAATGTACGGAGGCGAATGTGTAGAGAATATTTTAAGAAACCTAAACTTAATCTTGACAGGATTTTCATACAAAACAAATACTCTCTACTACTCTAGAATCTTACTTTTGGGAAAAAAATAGAGAAGCCATACCAAGTATTTCCTCTCACATTAGACTTTTAAATTAGGATAAAAAGTTTAAGGAAAGTCCATGGAAATGATCTGCAATGAAGAAACATTAAGTCAGTGTACAGCAATTTCTGTAAACTAGCAGAAAAGCCAAGAACATTCTGAGCCAAGTTAAAAGCATTCTTCTGGGTCAGGTTTTTTTTTTCTTAAATAGTTCTTTGATCTCTTAAACTTCTTAACATGCTACAGATCAGAAATCCCTTCACTGACTAGCAGAGAAAGGAAATGCAATGCCAAAGGAAAAAGATCCACCTCTTCAATTATAGGACTCTCTTTGGTGAGAAACAGTCTACCATTTACTAGTTTTTTTCTCTTATCTGCAGCTTGGAGAAGAGTTTAAGAGTGGCATTAATGTTAGGTTAGAGGGGAAAGAGTCTAAAAGAAAAAAACAAGAGGAATTCTTCCTCTTTCTTGTAGCTGTGACAGCAGCTACAAGAATAGCTGCTATAACAGAGTTGAAACATGGTACACTTTTGTAACTACAAGGTTATGCCTAGGAACCTACTGAGATTTTTACTATGTTACTTAAGAGTATTCTTTATATTGGAAACAGTTGAATATGGTATTATCATAAAAATAAGTTAGAATATGAGTCAGAATCAACACCACAGCAACTCCCCATCCCACCCCCACATGCCTGCAATTCACCAATTTTTGATCCCATTAAATTTGCACTGAATCCATGGGGAAATTAGCAGATTTACTCTAGATATTTTAGCTTAAAGCTAAATTGGAAATAACCTATTTACCAATACCATTAGCAATTCAAGAAAAACTGAACAGAATCTAATACATACATTAATAGACTTCACAGAAAACATTCTATCAGACTTATGCAATATTCCTTACCACAAATGGAAGATAGTCTTACCCACTATTAGATAAACTGTGATAGATGTATCTGGAGCCAGATAAAGACAAGTTCTAAATTCCATTGTAGCATGAAAAATATTACAAATAAGCACCCAAAACTGACCTAAGATTTTCTACCACTCCTCTAGGATACTTTTTAAGGGAGAGAAATAAGCATTCCTTTAAACTTGACTGGCAAAATCATTACTTGACCAATTATTTCTAAGTCCATATCAGACACCATTGAATGCCAAAACCACCAGCAACTCTATTGCTATTTTTGCAAGGAAAGGTAGATTATACAAAATTTCATTCTCCATGCAATGAACTGGAGAGAATATGTTGCTTTATAAATGGCTATATTTAAATGTTTTTAAAATTCAGCACCAAATGTTTAATTATTCTGAGCAGTTTTCAGGAATTAACATTTCATAACAAAATGGAAAACAATAAGTGAATGATTACGATATAATTATTCAAGCAATGTTTGCATGTTAAGAACCATTAAACCAATCAACGCTATTGTAGATTTGCCCAAATTGGAAGTAGCAAGATCAGTTTTTAATACAGGAGTGGCTCAGCTAATAGAGATAAGTCATGGGTACAGTATTTCTTAATCTTGACTAGGCAAGATTAACGAATCCAAATTTAAAATATCTTTTAAAAAAGAAATCAACCTAAATCAAAACAATCCATCATTAAAAAAGTTTTCTATATTCCATGAGGGAGAGATAATTTTAATGAAAATTAAAAAGAAAATTCACAAATAGTAGTGTCAGTTCAAGTCTACAGAACCCTTTATTCCAAGAAAATTATAGCCAACAGTACACAAGTTTTATTTCTTATACCATAATCTTATTTCTACTACATAATGAATTTCAACTACGAATATAGTTGAAGTCAACTTTTCGCACCTTGAAATGACACACCACTAGATGTTCAATTTCCTGAAAATCATTTTACTTTTTAAATTTTATTTAAAACTATATCTAAACCAAATTATTTAAAAACACAAAGGTGTTTTAAACAGAAACTTGTAGAAATATTATAATGCCAGTATTTGAAAGATAAGGAGGACTATAAAGAGGTTACTATCATACAAAAAACTCTATGCCCAAATCTTGCTAGAAAATTTCTTTATAAATAATGTCTTTCATGATAGAAGAAAAAACCAAAATATTTCCTAAAAATAAGTAGTTGCTCAGAACATGGGTGGGGTGTTTTGAAATAATACTACCTCTTTATAAAAAGAAAAAATGTTTTTGCCAGGCATTCCATTAACAAAGCACCATGCCATATCCATCTATCTTTTGCTTATGGGTACTAGTATTATCCAAGTAAGAGTACCTACCTAGAGATTGGTTGGCAAACCTATCAGGAGTCGCAGGTTCCTAATTTTGAAAGTTTTCTTAGTAAATATAAAATTTTAGCTACTTGAACACTGGAGCTTATAAAGTGCATTATGTAAAAGAAACACAACAGTAGTGCTCACTTAGAACTTTTAGGAACTTGCTGTCACCAGTGGGGCAAAAAAACAACATTATAGTTTTCTGTTCAGATTTTATTTGAAATCTAATTCCAATTTTCAAAGCTACAAAAGGGGAAGGAGAAAGGGGGAGACATCTGTATTATTTCTGCTAAGTCACAACATCCTAAAACAGAATACTACTACTGCCAACAGATCCATTATACACATTTCAGATGAAATTCATTAACACAGTAAAAATTTTATCTTGAGAAACAGCCACAACGAAAGTAATTTGTACAATATAAAACAATGACAATTCTACAGATGCAGTTACTCATGAGTTTACACATGCATTCGCAAACAAACAAACAAACAAACAAAAAAAAACCCAGGAATGCTCTTTCATTTAAATTTTTTTTGTGTTTTGCTTTGTTTTTGTTAAAAACCAACTGTTCAGACACAAACAAAATCGCATTTCCAATAAGTGACAGCATCTTAAAAATTGTGAATGCTATATGTCAGTGTTTGTTTTTCTTTGACTTTTTATGAGACCTGTGTGGAGATCGGGACTGGGATCTGGACTTCTTCCCTGATTTTTTAGGGGACCTAGACCGTGATCGCCTAGATCTTTTAGGTGTCCTTGAACCAGATGGTGACCTGAGAAAACAAACAAATAAAAACCATTTACCAAAGCATTCACAGGATCAAACTGATTAGCCTTCAACTATCTAAAATGATCTTTAATAGAGTACAATAAAAGTCACTGAAACAAACAAGAATGTACAGTTCTCAAATTTATGTTCTGCCTACTGTACATACACACAGGCACGCACACGCGCACACACACACAGGATTTATTTTGTACTTACTATGCACTGCACATCAGTGATTAGTAGAGCACTTGTTTAAAAGGACAGATTTCTGAGCCTTACCACTGATCTACTGAATTTTAATCTCTAGATGTAGGAACTGGGATTTGCAATTTGAACAAACTCCCAGGTGATTAACACTCCAAGTCTTAACCTCTAATCTACAAGATAAAGTTCAACACTGGCATCTAAGATCATTCACAAAATTTTTTTAAAAACATAATAGATTGCAGTCTATCATCTTGAGAGTAAAACGGTTAACATTCAAGGGCATTATTTAAGACAGCGTATTTTTTAAGTGCTGTTCATAGATTACCCCCTTCAAAAAATATATGTAAATTAACATATGAACAGCAAGTGCCATTTAGAAAAGGAGAAAAGTTATCTATTTTATAAAGCTGCTATAAAAACAGCTATAATAATAAAGTTTCAGCATATAAAGTAATTTTAACATTCAGGAAAATTCCTATTTAACACCAGACAAATAAAACATTTCTGAACCGCTTTTCTGGAACTACAAGGAAAAAGTATATAAAATACTATGTTACATACTGAAGAGATGGTATTTATGGTATTTACTTCCACAAATCTCTGCCCATGAACTTGCTAACAAGATTGCTGTGGAAAAAAAATGTATTTTTCTTTCAGTTTTAGAACAAAGAATATTCTATGGAAACTAAAGAACAGAATGAAAAGTAAAGCAGCTACCCCTGTTCCATAGGAAATACTGGGTATGATGCTTAAATTCTTGGCTGGTCTTTTTACTTCCTGTTGGAAGCCTTGTTGTGCTTAGTCATGACAGTCAGGGGAGAGGGGGATGCATAACAGAGAGGGATAGTATCAAAGGAATGTAAATCTCTGGTTTTCTAAAATTGATTAAAAAGTGGCAGCCAACCATATTATTTTCAAAGTTCGTAGAATGACAAGGAAACTGGCGTTTGAAATATTACAAAACTGACATGCATTTACCTTTTGGCCTTTTTGCTAACATCTCTAGGAGAATCTTTGTGAGATGACCTGGACCGTGAGCTTTCTTTATGAGATCTTTCAGAACGCTCTGATCGCTCCGATTTTGGTGATGGTGACTTCACTCGTCTACCACTGTTACTGCGAGACGGGCTGGGGGATGTACTGTGGCGCCTTTTCCTAGGGAATAAAGCCCCCCGCCCCAACATTCCATAAGTAAACTAAAGGATCAGGGATTAATTTTTTTTCCCTACTAAATTAGCTATTAATTCCTACCAATGTAACTATTTTACTAATTTATTAATGCTATTTTCCAGTTACGTTCAAAGCTTTTTATAACAAGTACAAACAAGTCTTGTAGATTGAACACCTGAATTCAACTACAGTGGATTTTCTTTTGTTCTAAAAGACATGACTGGGATAAATGACAAAATTCTACTGAGGTCTCTGAGGGCCTTCAAAAAGTTTGTGGAAAATGGAATTAAAAGATAATAGATTTTTTTCCCACAAACTTTTGGAAACCGCCTTGTACTGTAATAACTTCTTGGTTTTGATTCTTTAATTGTGGTTATGAAGGAGAATTTATTTTTGGAAATACCAAATGAAGTTATTTCCAGGTAAAGTTAATCAAGTAGCTCAGAGAGAAGTCGAGAAAAAGGAAGGGGAAGGAGAAAATAAAGATTAGATTAATTTTCACATTTGGGAAATCTGGGTAGAGTATCTAGGAATTTTTTGTACTACCCTTGCAACTTTTCTGTGAACCTTAAGTTATGTCAAAATCAAAATTGGATGAAAGAAAAAAAAAAGTGACAGGTATATTATTAACCAATTAATTGTGACTACATCAGAATATTTTAAATTTGCAATGACTTGGTTTTTGTTAGGTTTAAATAAAGCAATTTCTTTTCTAAATCAGATTTGGAAACTGTGAAAGAAATAAAAAACTGGAAGAGAAACACTTCTGGAAAGAATAAATAGTTAGAAAAATGAGAAGTAAGTTCCTATTGTCTATATCCCATTCATGACAAGATTTAGAGAGAACTAAACTCATAGGTAGCAAGAAGAAATACTGATACTGGAGGCAACAAGAAGGTCTAGCAAGTCGGTTTGTTATTTAAGTCTGAAGTTTGTTACTCAATACTGTAACTGAAGTCTTACACTGAACTAACCTAAGTGCAACTTCAACTATATAAAGGGATGATGCCCCAGTTTAATTAAGCCAAGTGCCAACTAAGTGCCCCATTTATATGCTAAATCTGCCTCCTAGAGTCAGGAACCAAACATATATTCATGTTGTTGTTGTTAGGTGCCATTGAGTCAGTACAGACTAATAGTGACCTATGCAAAACAGAATGAAACACTGCCCAGTCCTGTGCGAACCTCACAATCACTGCTACATTTGTGCCCATCGCTGCCACCACTGTGCCAATCCATCTCATTGGGGGTCTCTGACCCTCCATTTTACCAAACAGATATGCTTCTCCAGTGACTAGTTCCTCCTGCCAATATGTTCAAAGTATGAAAGACCATGTCTGAACATCCTGGCCTCAAGTGAGTACTCTTGGCTGTACTTCTTCCAACATAGATTGGTTTGTTCTTTTGGCAGTCCGTGGTACTTTCAATTCTCCTCCAACACATCCACCCTTCTACAGTCTTCCTTATTCACAGTCCAACTTTCACATGCATATGAGGTTATTGAAAATACATGGCTTGGGTCAGGTGCACCTAAGTCCTCACACTGACAACTTTGCTCATAGAAAAATACTTTTCCAGTTTGCTAATATCAATCATAAAAACATCACAAAATAATCCACCATTAAATATGAAAAATGCATACCTTTCTTTCCTCGTTGGAGTACACTCATCTTTTTCCTTCTTATCTTTGGATCGAGATTCCAATTTCTCTTTATCCTTCTTGTCTCGTTCTCTTTCTCTTTCTAATTCCTTCTCTTTCTCCTGTATTTTTTTAAAGAAAGAATAATTGTTCAAAGAATATTAATCTGGCTTAATTTCATAGTATTTTCTTTTCCAGGGAACCTAAAAAAAAATCACTACTTAAAGCACAGTATCATTAAAAAAATAAGTCTGCCCCTCCAGAAAACTATTCATTTCTTCTACTTACACTGAATAATAGTAAGGATACCAATGACAGCAGCTAAACACTTACTATGAGCAATTACCATAAGTTAAGCAATATATTAAACCGTTTTCCATATGCCTTTTCATATACTCCTTTACAATACTTTGAGGGGCAGGTTCAAAAAAGTTTGCTATCATATTATACCCCAGTGCAAACTCCAAGTAAATGAGGAAGTCAGGATTTGCACCCATGCTGTATAGCCAGAGATCCTAAGTACTACCCATAAAATATTACCCCTCAAAAAAAAATTGGGGAGAAAAATTTTAGTCCTTAGACAACTCTCACGCCCCTGGACCTGAACCCATTCCCGAAGACCAACTTTCAATCAAACAATAGACACACTTATCAAGTGAGTAACACCATGGAGGAGTATCAGTACAATCCAATCGTACTAAGACCAAAAGGGCAGTTTAGACGGAGCAGGAAACAAACATGAATGAAGATGGGGAGATTGGGGAGGAAGTAGGAAGAGTGATGTTACAATGAAAGGATTAACAACAAAATGTGTATAAAAGATTGAACGGAAAACCAATTTTCTTTGCATACCTTTGTATATCCATACTACAATAAAAAATTTTTAAAGCTAATAAAAGCAGACCCCAGGTTATAAGCAAGATCCATTCCAGTGTGGGTTTAAGTTGAATTTGTAATTAAACAGTCAAAATAGGTACATGCGGTTCTTATTTAGCATTACTCAGGGTTGCTATGGGTCGGAATCGACTCGCTGGCACTTAACAACAACAAGCACAAGTAAAGGAGACCTGGTGGCACTGTAGAATAAGTACTAGACTGCTAACTGTAAGGTGAGCAGTTCAAACCCACTAACTACTCTGCAGGAGAAAGAAGAGTCTTTCTAATCCCATAAAGACAACCTGAAAAACCCTATGCAGAGTTGCTATGCATTGGAAGTGGGTTTGGTTTCGTTTTAGTGTTAAGAAAAGACTTAAAGCCTTTTCAATCATTTAAAAGCTGCACATGCAGCAAGTGAAGGCGATTCTGATGAATTTGTTGTGAGTAGAGGTTGGTTCCATTGTTTTAAAGTGAGGACAAATTAACATACCTGTAATAACAGCACCACGACTGAACCACAAGGCTAGCAGTTCAAACCCACCAGCTGCTCCTCAGAAACTCTATACAGAGTTACTGTAAGTTGGAACTGACTCGACAGCACTTAACAACAAAGATCAAGTACAAGAGTCTTGGTGTGATAATGTAAGATAAGTTGTTAAGTGCTGAAAGTCAGCTCCGACTCATAAGGTTTTTGAGTATAGGGTTTCTGAGGAGCAGCTGGTGAGTTTGAACTTCCAACCTTGAGATTCACACCAACCTTGGGGTACAGTGCTTATCCTACAACACCACACCAGGACTCCATAAGGTAACTGGTTTTGGTGATGGTTATGTGTCATGGAGTCGGTCCCGATACATAGCGACCCTGCATAGGGTTTCTGAGGCTGTAAATCTTTATAGAAACAGAAAGCCTCTGTGCATTACATGCATTACATTAAGTGCCTGGTAACAGGAAACTCTTATTGCCCTTGTTTTTAAGTGTGCCTGCATAGGTTCTGACTTCTTAGCCACTCTGTTTAGGGTTTCTGAAGAGCAGCTGGTAGGTTGGAATTGCGGACCTTGCGGTTTACTCCCCAGTACTTAACCGACAGAGTCCTAGTGTAGTGCTGTAAGATAAGCACTGGGCCACAAGGTTGGTTTGAATCTCAAGGTCAGCAGTTCAAAACTACCAGCAATTCCATGGGAGATTACAGGAATGGGCATAGGTTCTAATAGAACTTTCTTTTAAAAAATTAGACAACCACTACAAATGTTGACCCCTGGCCTACACCAAAAAACACATCTTTCACTCAAATTACAATCATGGAAAACAAAATATAGTGATTAAAACATGTACTATTCAATTTGAGCTTGCTATCACTAGAATCAGTAAATGTTCATATACAGCCAGCCTTCCATGCAGATCTAAAACCTGCCACTATCTCAACAGGGCCCTAAGACAATAAAGTGGCATCTTTTGAATAAATCTCATTTATCCCTTTTCCAAATACTGTTAACATTACCAAAAACAAAACAAAAACCCACTGCTACTGAATTATTTACAACTCATAATGAACCTACATAGAATTTCCAAGACTAAATATGAGGCTGTCTGCCTCACCTTTCTCCTGTGAAGCACCTGATCGATTTCAACTGCTAACCCTGTGGTTAGTAGCCTAATGCCTAATCCACAGTGCCAGCAGGGTGCCTTTCAGAGTACAGATTTAAAAGGTGAAACTGAGGAGACAAACTTCTCTGATGATCTGTAGAATATATTTCTCCAATTGGTAAAATGTTTTAACACTTTAGTAATAAAGAACAATAATAATTAACTAGTTAATATCTAAGTTCACAAGCCTACAAATACCAACATGGTCAAGCAGAGAAAAAGCAGACTTTGCAACCTGTTCCCCATCACCAGTTCTGTATCAAGTTCCTTAGTGATTGGGAATTCTCACCAGCTTTTTTTCCTATTTCTCTTCTCTTCCTATATAATCTATTTTCTTTGCAACAATGACTGTCATTTTACATACGTGTGCATGCACACATATATAGTTAGGAACCTGTTAAGTGTTGTTGAGTCAGTTCCCACCCACAGCGACCCTGTAATAGGGTTTCCAAGGAGTGGTTGGTGAGCATGAAATATCAACCTTATGGTTCACACCGACTTTGCAGTCCAGCACATTAACCCACAGTGTCACACCAGGACTCTAATTCCTTAAATAATTATTATGTGGGGTTCCTGATTCTGAAATTCTCTGCATACTACTACATATTTTTACATGTATATATAAAAAAAATGAGAGGTCCTTCAAAAGTTTAGAATTTTAACAATGTTGTATTCTACCACCTCACTGTCCCTTCCTTGGAATCAATGGGAAAGGAATCCTAAATGAACCTCCCAAACCCCAACTCCATCTTGTTTCTGTTTGACTTCGCAGCGTTGTTGGTGTCTCATTGTCACAAATGGGACTCTTCTTGAATAATCTTACACTTATGAAAACATGCTCTTGGCAGGATTATTCTTAGTCCACAAACAGTGTTCAGAATAAAACAGTATGCTGTTATCCTAAGACCCCTGTTACAAGCTGAAATATTTTGAAAACATCAAAGTTCACAGCTTCCTAACTACATACCAATACTCAGAATTACACATCAAGGGGTATCATTTGAAACATACTTTTATTGAAAGAAAAATGTCAACATTCTAAATAGTCAAGAAAAAAATTTGAGACTATACATTACTGAGTATAATTTATTCCTTACTCGTTGAAGAAGTTTATCTCTGTAGTGTTCTACTTGCTCCTGAAAGCTCTGGCCTGGTTTTTTAGGTCTTTTTCCAGATTCCAATTCATCTTGAAACTTCATAACTTTAAGCTGTAAAACAAATCATTGAAACATGACTGCTGTTATTACTATAAGTTACAAAGAAAATTAAGTTGGGAACTGCTTTGTTCCCTTTAAAAAAATCATTTTCTTCGTTAACCAGTGTGTATAAAGGAAGACCATAAATCCAAAAAGGAATTGATTAAAACACAGTAAAAATGTAAATTCAGCAAGAAACTTCCTTATCTGAAGGCTACTCATCAGACAAACCAAACTATGCAGAATTTAAGTGACCAAGTGTATGAGTCCACCTGCTCTCTGCCTAACCATATAAGATGCCTCATAAACCATGAACTATATGGTTCATGCATTAAGAAAGACTTATTCTGTCAATGCAGTGATGAGATAGTATGTGCTTCTACAAACTAGAAAGGCAAAATAGCTAGAGGCAAGCATACTGCCAATGGGATAAAACAACCAACAGAATGCGAGAAAATAGTTATTAGAAAAGTCACATTTGATGGCTTTAAAAAAAAAAGACGATGCATAAGGTTAAGGAAGGGAAAAAAGATATTTTATTATTTGAGTTCACCACTGTGTGAAGCTTTTGTCTTCTATGTTGTTGTTGTTGTTAAGTGCCGTCGAGTCGGTTCCGACCCATAGCGACCCTGTACAGGGTTTCCGAGGTTTGTCTTCTATAGAATGTACATATTCAAAGAGATTCAGTTTTAAAAATTAAGTGTCCAAGAGACAAACAACAGATCTGAATGTTACTTGGGGAAATAATGTATTCCCAAGAAGCATTTCTAAATATCATAAAATATCCACTTATAGTTTCTGCTGACATGGCCTAACTCAGGTTCAAGTACAAGTCCAGGGCACTCAGTAAACAGGTGTTCACAGGTCCAAACTCAAGAGGAAGCAAGCAGCCCTTACAGTGGCTTCTTAGCCACCCATCCCCCTTGTACTCTGGAACACTATGTTGCATATCATCTTCCCTCTCAACTATCACTCTTGCCTCAGGATCCAGGGCAGAAAGGGATCTTTCTTGCCAAACAGCACAGAAGACACTTGGCTTGGCTCCCTGCCTTATTCTTTCACTTCCTTCAGCCCCTTTAGAAGTAAGGGTTAACAGGAGAAAAGAAAGAGACAGCTCCACTACTTACTGCCCTTAATGCTATCTGAAGAATTTCAAACTTGCTTGTTCAAACAGTACATTATATGGTTACATATCTTTTCAGTGCTTCGTGGAAAAAAGTAACATTTTATAAGATGAACCTTCGGTTTTTATTATTCTCATGCTGAAAAATGTTCAGCTAGGGCACCTTGGGAGCACTGTGGCTCTCCAGGCTAAGTGCTGGACTGCTAACCATGTGGTTGGTGGTTTGAGTCCACCATGGGAGAAATATGAGGCTTTCTGTTCTTGCAGATTAACAGCCTAGGAAACCTTGCGCAGGGTCGCTGTTAGTTAAAACAGACTCGATGGCACTTAACATATGTATTCCAATAATGTTTCTTTGCCTAGAACATTTTTTGAAACTTATTTGGAATTATTATCAGAACTATTAATAAGACATTTGGAGAAGGAAATCGCTTTTAAAAGGAAAAAGGAAAGAAAATCATATGTATGCATATATTGTACATACTATATATGTTGTTGTGTGTTGTGCCAAGTTGATTCCAAGTCCTATCGATCCTGTTGTTAAGTGCCACTGAGTCAGTTCCAGCTCCTAGCAACCCTATATTGGGTTTCCAAGAAGCAGCTAATGGTTTTGAACTGCCAACCTTGCATTAACAGTCCAATGCTCATCCTCCAGCACCACACCAACAATCCATATCAACCCTGGTATATGTAACAAAACTAAACAGAGATAGTAATTTAGAACATCATTCTTTATTTAATGGTTCTCCAACATAGGGGAGTTAGTACTCACTGGTTTCTAAATTCAGAAATTCATATTCAAATTTAGGGGCAGATAAGATTTTTAAAAAGCAGTGAAATAAAGCTCATGACCCCAAGTTCTAGTCCAAATTTGTTACCACATGACCATACCTCTCAGAGCTAATAAGGGGGAAGAATCACATAATTTTAAGATGAAGCAAGATTTATATTTTATACTAAGGATTTGGTTCACAATCCAAATCCCAGGAGAACAAGTAGGCTGTGAGAGACAGACAGCATGAGAGTAGAGAGCAGCAGAAGCAACTCATGAATTTCTAACAAAAAAAGCCAAGGCAAGACTATGAAACAGCATATGAAGTATGGAAAGGTGTACGTATGTCACATGTGTAATACATATAGAGTGAACATGATAGATAGCGTTCATTAAAAGCACCCAAATTAACAAAAAGTTAATTAGTTCCTTTTTTTCTATTTAAGTAAAAGAAAATGTTAAATGCCATCGAGTTTATTCCGACCCATAGCAACCTTATACACGGTTTTCAAGGAGCAGCTAGTGAGCTTGCACCACAGACCTTGGAGTTCAAATGGCTTTGCAGTCTGGTGCATTAACCCACAGTGCCACTGATTAAACAGTCTGCTTTTCAATTTACAAGGAATTATTTGGTGTGACACTGCAAGTTAGTGCACTGTATTAAAAAGTTGGTTTGAACTGCAATGTCGGTGGTTTAAGCTCACCAGTCATTCCTCAGAAACCCTATACAGGGTTGTTATGAGTTGGAACCAACTCGATGGCACTTAACAACTTCAATAATTAAGAAAATAATTTTTCATTAAACTCAATCTTTGTTTCTGCTCCAAGAGTTCCACTAGCAAAGAAAGGCAAAAATTTAGTGAGGTGGGAGGAGTACTGAGAATTCAGTGTACACATTCAGCTTGAAAAAGCTCATGGGTGTTTCCACTGATTTATGAGAGTAAGTAAAACACTATTACTATAAAATTACAGAATCTTTCATTAAACAAAAATATCAAAATCTGAAGCTACTGTTTCTCAACATATGCTCCATATAGTCTATAAAATTCTAAAGGCACTGCTTCCAAGAATTCTGTGATCTCTGATTTATACCGTATCAAGACAGCAGTTTAGGCATCCTCTACAGACCCAGACTGTGTTCCTTTAAACTACTCTTAAGAGTCTGGAGAACAAAAAGAAGTATGAAGGACAAAGATCAGGGATTTAAGGTGGATGGGTAAAATTTCCTAATGAAATCTCATAGGACAGTTCTTGCTACCCTCAAAAAGTCAGCAGTTGCGCTGTTATAATGGGAAAAATTACCTTGGGACAAACTTTCCTGGCCCTTATTCTTCATATATTTTTCATTTTCCCTAATAAGCCCCAATGATTGTCCTGTGTCCTTTGAGAAAATCTGTATCAGAGTTACAGTTGGTTTATCATAGGGTAATTAGTGGGTGTATGATTCTTGGTTGACAGCTTTGTTGTTTCATCCCACTGTCTTCTTACCTACATGGTTTCTGCTGTGAAATCAGAGCTCAGTCTTACTGGGTCTTCTTTGCAGGGAACTTTTATTTCTGAAATGTTCTTGGGATTCTGTTGTCTTTGGACTGTTTGATTACAATGTGCCTTTGTTTTCTTTTGAGGTCTATCCTGTTTGGGATTTGTTCAGCTTCTGTAAGTTTTATTTTGTCTTTAATGACGTTAGGAAAGGTGTCTTCCAACAATTATTTGACAATGTTGTGTTTTTTTATTATCCCTTTCTCTTCTGGAATTCTGATCAACCACAATTTATTCCTCTTGATGGTTGGTGTCCCACATAAAACTTGTTATGTGTCGTGGAGTCGCTTCCGACTCTTAGCAACCCTGTACAGGGTTTCCGAGGCTGTAAATCTTTACGTGAGCAGAAAGCCTCATCTTTCACCCGTGAGAACAGCTGGTAGTTTCAAACTGCTGATCCTGAGGCTAGCAGCCCAATTCGTAACCACTACGCTACCAAAATTTAGGCTATGGATATTTTTCGTCTTTTTTCCTGATTGTTCGTCTCTTTCTAGTATTGAGAAATTTGTCTTCAAGTTCATCAATTCAGCCTTCCACTAATGTGCTTTCTACATAATCCAATATATCTCAGTATTTCTGGATTTCTATTTGCAGTTTTTGTACTGTTTCTAATTTTTCATTTATTTTGTGCATTTGTTTTTGCAAGGTTTTCTTAAATTCTTCTAAAGTTTTCTATGTGCTTTCCTCTGCAATTTTCTCGATCTCTTAGTCTATTGAAGGTACCTAAAATATCATTCTTTAAAATTTTTTTCAGATAGTTCCAGTACCATTTCTTCCTCAGAAACGTTTTCTGGCTCTGCATTTTGGTCACATATTTGGGCTAGTCTGTCTTTCTTCTTAGTGTGAACTGAAATTGTTATCTTAGAGACATTGCAAAATCCTTGTATTTTTATTTAAGTGATGATTATATATTGGTGTGTTCTTAGACATCATCTGTCTCATTGTGGGTAGGACAGAGGAGAAAAGTGTGTGCAGTTCTCAGTTCAGGGTGGGCTTGGCTGGTATTGGCTACTGTCTATCACTGATCAGGTGGTATAGGAGTTGGTAGTTGACTGTTGCCCAGTTCAGTGTCATAAACTTAAAAAGAAATTATAACTTACAGGGTCATCTCAAAGAATATTAATAAACCTCATCAAAATAAAAAATGGAAGATCATAAAGATTTAGTAAATACCAAAACAACAGCAATGAAGAAAATGACAAAAAAGCCCACATACAAAATGAACTCAGCACAGACACTTATACTGAACAAAGAAACCAGCAGCCCCACAAATTTGCAAAATATCTCATTAACATGGATAAACTTGGAGAACATTATGCTGAGTAAAATTAGTCTATCACAGAAGGACAAATACTGTATGAGACCACAACTGTAAAAAGTCAAAGAGAAAGTTTCACATCATAAGAAATACTTTTTGATGGTTACAAGGAGTAGGAGGGAAGGTGAACTAATTCACTAGCTAGAGGAAAGACACGAGTTACCTCTGATGAAGAGGAAGGCAGTATACAACAATAAGAAGGTTGGCAAAACAATGATGACCAGAGGAGAAGACACAGGGAACACAGCAAGAGTTAAAAG